GACCGTTAAACTGATACAGGATCTGACTCGGAATCGAGAGGTCCCAGCCGGGTTCGAATCCCGGTCCGGCACTCGTACTAGCTTTCCTCCCTTCTGAGGTAGATAAACGAGTGTCACTCTCTGGGAAGGAAACAAGAGACTACACAGTATACTTTCCACATGGCTATTGTCTACTCCGACTTTGAAGCAAGGCACTCCTGGCTAACCAAATATGAAGCTCAGTCCCTTCCCAATTGATTTCATGAAAAAAATGGTGCCAGAATAAGTATTTCAATAATAAGTATAATGAAGAACTTACAATGATTTAAACGGTTGCAAACTTTCCCTCCGTTCATTTACCTTATTTTACTATTCGCTTGATCTGTAAATTGTTGGATTTAGATTTGGATGATCATGAATAATATTGCGAATTCAATTGCGTTTGTTGAATATGGGCACAGCGCACCGGTATATCTCAATCGAGACTTCAAGGCTATCCATGTGCGACAGATGGACATGGCTGAATTGCATTTACTGGGTTTTGAGCGTCAGGTTTCGAGTAACGTCGCTAACGCCCGAACGTGTCTCCCGAAGGGTCCCCTCTGTGACATTCAATGAAGGTGCCTGGGTTCATTGGGCGAATTCGTCTGCACTGTTGACTTTGTCGAATGATGTAGTCGGAAGATCGAGATGCATAGACTTGCTAGAAAAGCCGCCGCTAGTACTAGCTATCGAGAAACCGCTGTCTAGTCTCCTTGTATGGCAAACCAAGTCTCCAAGTTAGACGGTTAAACCTTTACAACTAATTAGTGCATTGAATGATGTTTCGACACCAGAGGCCTGGCGACAATTTCACAAGGATTCCATTTAGCCGTATGATGAGCCGGATTGTCGTAGGCGAAGGATAGCTCAATGAAAACCTAGCGTTTTCAAGTTTCACGGATTCCATACAGCTTGTCAGAAGCGGCATTTTATGCCTCAGATGGCATCGGCTATTTTCGATAATTAACATGTGACCCCCAAGCGTCGTGCCCTGCTGATGGCCATCCAAGTTAAGCACTGATGACTTTCGTT